TTCACACAAAGAAGCAAGATAAGTGGTAGAAACAAGGGAGCAGGATACAGACCCAGAACACATCCCTGAGGAAGAAGCAGCATTAGAACTCCCTGATAAGAAATTCAAAAGAGTTAAATTTAGGTATCTTCAAAGGATTGAGAGACCAAGGAAAACACAGAAAAAAAACCTAGAAGAATGCTGGGAGAAAATACAAGAACAAAATGGCAAAATAAATGAAAAATTATTAATGATTCAAAATCTACAGGTAGAAATCCAGAAGATTAATACTGAACTGTCATAAATAGATAACACATCGAAAGGGCAAAGGAGTAGAATTGATGCAGTAGAAGACAGAATTAAAGAGATTAAAGACAAATACCTGAATACTTCTTTGGAAAGGGATCAGTCAGAAAAAAAATCAAAACAAAATGAAGAAAGCATAAGGTTCATGTGGGATACCATCAAAAGGAATAACCTACATGTCACTGGAATTCCAGAACAGGAAGAGAAAAATAAAACTACTGAGAAATTGCCCAAGATTTGTTGGAAGAGAAATTCCCAGATATAATGAAAGATGAGAATATATCCATTCAGGAACTCCAACAAACCCCAAACAGGATAGATCCCAAAAGAAAATTATCAAGACATATCAAACTCATCAAAACCAAAGACAAAGTAAGAATCCTGAAACAGAATGGGAAAAATGGAAAGTTACTTACAAAGGACAGCCAGTAAGAATAAGCTCTGATTTATCAGCAGAAACTATGCAAGTGAGAAGGCAATGGGATGGTATATATAAAACCTTGAAAGAGAAAAATTTCCAACCAAGAATTATGAACCAGCAAAATTGTCCCTCAAATATGATGGTGAAATTAGGAGATTTCCAGTAAGCAGAAATTAAGGGAATTTTTTAAAACCAGACCAACCCTCCAAGAGATACTAAAGGGAGTCCTCTGAACAGAAAATCAATAATAGCAAACAACAACCAACCATTAATACACAAGATGACATAACCCATAAACCATAGCTATGGACATATCCAAAGTAAAATAAGCTTACACAGTTGTAAACAGGGTACCACAGACATCAACTGACAAATGATGACAACTACAAAACCAAAAAGAGGAAATAATAGTGTAGTTACAGAACTTCTAAATGGTGAGGAGGAAGTCAAGAGGGTTTCAAGACAGAATGGACTGTTCTAAACTTGGGGAGAAAATTATAAATCACAGGTTAACCTCAAAGAAAAAAGATAAACCTTTACATCACAACGAAAAAAGCGCAAGCACAAATATTTAGCAGATACTAAAACAATAGCAAAAAGGAAATGGTAACATGATTCTTAAACAGAATGAGAGCACAAAAAAAGTTAGATGGAACAAAGAAACTAAGAACACCATGAAAAACGACATAACAAAATGACAGCAACCAATTCATACTTGTTGATAATTACACTGAATGTTAATGGATTAAATGCACCACTCAAGAGATGGAAAGTTGCAGATTGGATAAGAAAACATAACCCATCAATATGCTATCTACAAGAGACACACCTTAGAGACAAAGACAAAAATACACTAAAAATCAAAAGTTGGAAAAAGACATATCAAGCAAATGGCAACCATAAAAGAACAGGAGTGGCAATATTAATTTCTGATCAAATTGACTTTAAGACAAAAATCACCATACGAGACAAGGAAGGACATTATATAATGATTAACGGATCAATTGAACAAGAGGATATAACCTTAATAAATATCTATGGACCCAGTGCAAGTGCCTCAAAATACATCAATCAGACCATAAAAGAGTTGAAATGGCAAACAGATGACTCCACAGTCATAGTGGGAGACTTTAATACACCACTTTCAATGAAAGATAGAACTAGAAAGAAACTCAACAAAGACGCAGAAGAGCTAAACAATACAATCCATCCACTTGACCTTATAGATATCTACAGAGCACTTCACATAACGACAGCACAATAATGGAACATTTTTGATGATAGACCATATGTTAGGCTATAAAGCTAGCCTTAATAAATTTAAAAACATTAAAATACTGAAAAGCATCTTCTCATATCATAATGCTATCAAATTAGAAATCAACAATAGGAAAATCAATGGAAAAAGGGCAAACACATGGAAACTGAACAACACCCTCCTTAAGAAAGACTGGGTAAGAGAAGAAATAAAAAAATGAAATTAAAAATTTCCTTGAATCAAACAAGAATGAGAACACAACATTCCAAAATCTCTGGGATACAGCAAAAGCAGTGATCAGAGGCCAATTTATAGCAATAAATACACACATCAAAAAAGAAGAAAGAGCCAAAATCAACACTTTAAATAAACATCTCCAACAATTAGAAAAAGAACAGCAAGAAAAGCCTACAGTCACCAAAAGAAAGGAAATAATAGATTCGAGCAGAAATCAATGAAACAAAGGACAACAGAAAAAATCAACAAGACTAGAAGTTGGTTTTTTGAAAAGATTAATAAAATTGACAAACCACTATTTAACAAAGGAAAATAGGGAGAGAATACAAATAACATGAATAAGAAATGAAATGGGCAACATCACAACAGAACCAACTGAAATAAAAAGGATAATAGGATACTATGAGGAACTGTACTCCAACAAATTTGAAAATCTGGGAGAAATGCACAGATTTCTAGAAACACATCACTACCTAAACTAACACAGATTGATGTGAAAAATTTGAACAAATCCATAACAAAAGAAGAAATTGAATAGGTCATAAAAAAATTACCAACCAAAACAGTCCTGGCCCAGATGTTTCCATCAGAGAATTCTACCAAACATTCAGAGAACTGACACCAATCTTTCTCAAAGTATTCCAAAACATAGAAAGGATGGAATCCTCCCTAACTCATTTTATGAAGCAAGCATAACCTTGATAC